CGTGGCAGCAGTCGGTTTTTTCTTTTTCCTGGACTTGTTCGGGTGGCCGATCTCGGTACGTGCTGTACACATATGCTTGTATACAATAGCTTGTGCTGGATCAGAACCACTCGCAAACTTTGCTAGTTTCTAAAAATCATATATCATGTTCCTCTCCCTTATCTGCTTCTTTGATTGAGGAGGCATTTTATCCGGTTGCTCATAACCAGTCCCTGGCGCACTAGGTACAGCAGTAGGTGTCCATCGTCTTAGCAGGTACCTTTTCGGTATGACATCAACTCCAATATGGGTGAACACCTTGAGGATGTGGCAATAGAGGATGCCGTCCTTGTCCATTTTACAGCACTCACACAAATAGGAACCCTCCTCCACCCTTGCCTGCACCAAGTAGTTTCGAGAACCATATTTGGCAACAAATTTCTGGTTCGGTCTGAGCTCAAATATATCAGCACCAACTTGGAATGCATTATAACGTCCAATCAGCTCAAACTCTTCTCTAAACTTGCGGTAAAGGTCCCTGGTATAGGTTTTGTAAGCTTGCTTCTCTATTGGGAAGTTGGACCACAACTCAATCTCAAGGTGTTCTGTCCTGTAATCATTGCAGCCTTCCTTGACAAGGATGTGATTCTGGATTTTTTCATATTGCTTGACAAAGTTCAACATTGAGTTGTGTGGGTTCACATATCTTTTTAAGACGGTGTTGAACCCCTCACTACGCTGTGTAGACTAGAGGAAGGGGAAGAACTTGTGTTTGAAGTAGCACGACACCCAAGTTGACATGTATTCGTACAACTTCTCAAAGTGCGTGTGTGTCATAGCCTCGTACTTCATCATTAACCCAGCCCAATTCTGCTCAAACTCGTCTATAGTGAAGCTGAAGTCAACACACTTGTTGAAATCATCAGAGAGTCCTGGATTCCGGCACAGCAGCCAACCAACTTTTTCCTGAGCCTTTTTCATGATGTGCCATCGACAACAGCGGTGCACGGTGGTTGGAATGATGCTTTGTATTGACTGCCTCATCGCACCATCCTGATCAGTGATGAAGTTGTCAAGAGGTTTGCCATCCATAGCCTTTAGGAATGCTCCAAAGACCCAATCGAAGCTCGATGCCAACTCCTGCCTCACAAACGCGCAACCCAGCATGAAAGATTGGCCATGTCGGTTTATTCCTATGAAGGGCGCGAACGACATATTGTACATGTTGGTCATGTAGGTGGTGTCAAACGATATGCAGTCGTGGTACGCCTCCGCATAAGCTTTTCGAGCTAAGCCGTCCACCCAAAATATGTTGACAACTCTGTCCTCTTCATCATACTTCACCTTATAGAAGAAGGTCTGGATCGGTTTTTTGTATATCCTTAAAGTGTGCAATTGTCTCAATCAGATCACCCTCCTTTGTGTCATCTCTATGGAAACTTGTACAAAGATTTGTTATTGCCTTTGGTCCGAACGGCACCATCATCTCAAATCCATAGAACTCTGCCATTACATGCATCATTCGTCCTGCATAATACAAAAACAAACAGTATATCCTTTTTTTAGTTGCACGAATGTGCACATCCAGCTGCACAGTAATAGGACATGTGTTGGCACAGAAGATAATCGCAGGAAATGGACACCTAGCTGCACCTTTTTAAAAATAGGACATTGTGTAGTTGCACAATAAAGACAATGTAGTTGCACAACAAGCACCAAAAGTGATATACAAACAACATGGGAAGTTGGATAACAGTTGCACAGTTAAGCCATTTCAGTTGCACAGTAGTACCATAACAGTTGCATACTGGACTGCCTAGAGGGAAACTTAATTCTTTAAGGGATATAGAAAAACACCACACCTGTAGTCAAGTTGCAGTTATACAAGATGCGCAGAAACTCCTTTTCATCAGGTGAGATGCCTTGGTGGGATCTCAAATATTTGGACAATGAAGGTTTGTTCACGAGCGGATGATTGTGGTCAGGAACAAAGTGTGTCACCTCCCATCGCCCATCTATCAGCTTCACCAACATTTTCGCCTTGCATTCAGTCTGCTTTATTGTCTCGCATTTGCGCTTCTTCTTCTTCTTCTTACTAGTACCAGCCTCCTCTTCAGCAAATATTGGAGGTTCTTCTTCCATCTCCTCATCACTGTTAACAGATTTTGGATCTGGAATAGCGTCCAGGACAGGAGGAGCCTCAGCTCCTCCATCATCAGCTTTGGGCTTCTTAAACTTGTTGCAGCAAAACTGTTGTTTTATCAATTCATTGGTGCGGGGTGCCCGCCTAGAGGTGTTCATCTTGATAGAGAAACCTATCCGTAGTGCATAGCTGTTGTAGTGATCCTTAGCAATTTGAAGGTTGTCAAACCTCATGCCAACATAGGGTTCCATAGGTTGAGAACCAGCCTCATCCTCTCCTTCTTCTCCTTGCACAGCTCTGTCAACAGCCCCAGCTCCTAGCTCAGTCCTGGTTGGACCAGAAACATTTGCCTCGGTTTCCGTGTCATCAAGAGTATGGCTCTCTAACTGCAAAGACACCACTACATGGGCACCATGGGCTAATGACTGGCCTGCCATATTGTCATGGCTCGTAGGGTTACCATCACGACTTGCCTGCGTGTAGTAAACAGATCGACCATTTTCTGTCCAATTTCCTTGTTGTATGCTGGGTTGCTGTTGATCCATATCATGAGGAAGCTCATTGAGATCAGGGGGCAACTCATTGAGATCAAGCATCTTTTTTCCTTTTTTTGGATGCTGCCACACACTCCCTGCACATATATAAAAGAAGAAATTGATGTCATCAGTTGGTAACGACAGAAAAGAGTATTTCAAACAACCTAAAAACTTAGTAAATAGGCAGTTGCACACCATTTTGTGATATTCTTAGTTCCAAAAGCAACATCACTGTAGCATAATCTTTATTATAACAGTTATGAATTTTTTTGTTTGCACATAGTTGTTATATTAGTTGCACAGTTTGCAGTAAATAGCTGGCAAGAGCATGACTTCTTTTTACTACAGAGTTTTCTGACTTTTTTCTTTTTGTTTTGTTGCAATGATCTGTAGGTTTCCGTTTTGCAAGGAGCTATTTTCAGATTTTTCTGCACATAATTGGATGTTACATTTGAGAAGGAAAATCCAGGTGAAAGAAGAAAGAAGAATTGGAGGACAGATTATAGTTATATGTTTTTCATCGCCGTTTATGTTTCTAGTTCTGGTATATTTGAACCAGAATATATGTGTGGGACAAGATTATATGTGTGAATATGTTAATATGGTTTGTGGCTTCATTAGCCATGGACAAAAGTTCTTGTGTTTTTGCTGTTGCACTATAGATTTCTGATTTTCGCTAGAATAGACGTTTCAATTGCCAGGATGCATTTTTCCATTTGGCCAGCATACATATTTCAGTTGGACATTCAATGTTTTTAGTTGGCTAGAATAGATGTCTCAGCTGGCCAGGTTGCATTTATTTCAGTTTTTGGCCAACATGCATGTTCAGTTGGACAGTTAATGCATTCAGTTGGTTAGAATAGATGTCTCAGTTGGCCAGGATACATTTTCTCAATTTTTGGCCAACATGCATGTTTAGTTGGCCAGAAAACATATTTTTTATTTGCACATATACTACAGTTCTTCTAAAGTGTTCACTCACAAACATCTATTGCCAAATATACATGTTTAGTTGGCCAGGACACATGTTTAATTGGCCAGGATACATGTTTTTTAGTTGGCCAGAAAACACGTTGTGTACAATGCATGTTTTAGTTTTGGCTAGTATGCATGCAGAGTTGGCAGAATATAGGTTCAGTTGGCTGGGATGCATGTTCAATTGCACATTTATGAATTTTTCGTTGCACATATCTATTAGGCAGTCAATTTTTGTTCATTTTGCAAACAATAACTACAAGTTGATAGAATGCATGTTTAGTTTTTGGCTACAATGCTTTGTTGAGTTGGCTTTAATCATGTTTTAATTGGCCAGAGAACTTATTTTTAGTTGGTTTGTTTAACACATTCAGGTGGTAGAAACTTGTTTGGCATGCATCAAGTAGTTTTTGGCTTGTTTAACACATCCAGCGGTAACATCAAGTAGGTTGGTGTGATGTGCCAGATTCACCTCTTTTTTGAAGCAACTTCTCCATGGATTTGTCCTAGATCTATGGAGAAGGGGGTTTACATATGCCTATGCAGTAGAAGAAAGGGGGAAGTGAAGAGGGGCAGAGGGGGCTTACCTATTTGATCTTACTGCCTGGTATGGCTCCGACCACCCTGCCCTTAGATCTTCTTTTTTGAAGCAGCTCCTTCTACTTTGGGGCTCCCATGACGGCTGTGTAGGAGGAGGAAGAAGGGCTGGGGGCGATTCTGTTGGATCTGCTCCTGGCGTGGAGAAGAAGAAGAAGGCAACGTGGGAGGGGCTGAGGCGTGGGGACGAGCGGGGCGTGGGTGCGAGATGGGGACAACTGGCCACATGGAACGGTTTCTGTTGATGGCCGTTCGATTGGTCTGTTTTGGTGGCCAGTCAATCGGTTGGGTAGGTGACCTTCCTTTTCTGTTTCGCGGGGACAGGGGTTTTCCTTTTCAGCCGGCCGCTCGGTTGCACTAATGGCAGCCGGCCGCCCACTAGACGTGTCCAACATTCTGTATTACGGCACGGATGAAGTAATTGTAAGCAGTAATAAAATTTGCACCATGTAAAGCCCAAAATTCAAGCTTTAATTCTCTGATACTCGCAGGGCTATTGTGCATAAGATCCCGAAAACCAATATATCCAGTTCGCTGCCTATCCTTGTGCCCTCGCCGTCGCAGCCGCCGCCCAACCGTCGCGCCCGCGAACTCCTCACGAGGTCCCAAACCCTAGTCCTTGCCTACCTCGAGATCCGTCCGGCCATTATCATCTCAGATCAAAGTTCCTTTTTCTTATTCTCTTGTGCGGCAACTCATTCCTTCGTTGCTCGTGACTGAATTTCTTGGAATTTGTAGAGAATTTTTGGGTCCTGATCCGAGGAGAGGAGATGTCGGACAGCGAAGAGCACCAGTTCGAGTCGAAGGCAGACGCCGGCGCTTCCAAGACCTACCCGCAGCAGGCCGGCACCATTCGCAAGAACGGCTACATCGTCATCAAGAACCGCCCCTGCAAGGTATCTAAAACGTCCGCCTCCCACTTGCTTGATGTCTTGGGCTTAGATCCCGACGCTATCGCTGTAGTCCTGTTAGATCCGTGTGTTCGTCCTGGCGTCTCAGATTGCTATTGCATGTATACGTGCAATCTCTTTATTTTCCTACGAGCTGGATGGTCATGGATGGATTGGAACGTGTGAATATGCATCACGATCGTGTGGTATATTTGGTTCTTGGATGCTCTGCTGTGCTTATCATCGGTGATACTGGATGTTCTGTGAAATGTCTACATTGTAGGACAAGTAAATTGTACGTTGGCCATGCACTTTTCTTTTCTAAATAAATTTGGAATGCCATATGCATCATTTGAAATTTCCAGTTCATGTCTGTGCCAATGTGTCGTCAGATTAGCAGTATAGGCTGGTGTAGATCTACCGCCTGATTAACTTTACTTAGGCAGTTAGATAAGAATTATTTATTCTTTTCTAACAAAAAGAAAAATCCCAGTCCAGTAATGATCTTTCTTAATTTGAAACTATGCTGTCAGATTCCTATTGTTTGAATTGCTAATCTGCTATTATAGAGATTGGTTACTGACTCGTAACATTTGATTGCAATATAATTAATTAATTTCATGAATAAAAAGTCTGTATTCTCAATAAGATTATGCAAGTCTTTGATTTGTTGCGTGTTGGTTTGGTGTGAATAATAGGTCTAGACTGATTTGATTTGCTCTCCATGTCAGTTGTTTGCTTTAGGTTTTTTTACATTAAGCATTGATGGATTTTGACTTTGTAACACTGATATCATACTAGCATTGTTAATTATCTGGATATTGTAAATAATCTTTGATTGACCATGCTGTGTGTGCATAGTGGTCCATGAACTTTAGTTGGCTGTACCAGTTGTTGACCTAGCAAGGTTGTTAACTTATCTGCAAATTTATGTCTTAATGCTGCATACTGCCATGTATTATTTTATTTGTTCGATGTCATGATTGCAAACTTTCTTACATCTTTATACTTTTTACTGCACGAGTTACATAGCCGAGGGTTAACTGGTTCAGGGTTATCATCTTCACTGAAATTTCTGAATATTGGTGATTTCAGTGGGTACTGAAATATTCGACTTATGTCGATTTTTTTTCAAAACTTGATTGGATTTTATTCAAATTGAAAAGAGAAGTTGTTTGGCTGAACTGAAAACAAATATGCATTTCAGTGGTGGCCAAAATATGACCAAATATGTGAAGCCTGGGTTGGGTTACTTTTTTTTTGCATGTTTTATACCATTTTTTTTGCATTTGCATTTGCTTCTTGCTGCCTCCAGCAGTATCACTGGATAATCAGTTCACCGGTGCTAGCAATGATGCATTGATCCTGTTTAGCCGTGGTTCTTTATGCATTCCAGATCTGTAGTTTTCACTTTAAATGTCAATAAATTCCTTCAGTTGTGGATATTAATGTCTTTATATATTTATTATTAGGATTAAAATCTTATTTATCTGTTAATTCTCACTCTGCTTGCTATTTTGTTGTTCTGGCTAATGTATTTCCAATGACATGCCTTTGAAACAAATGTGCAGGTTGTGGAGGTTTCAACATCTAAAACCGGGAAGCATGGTCATGCCAAGTGCCACTTTGTTGCTATTGACATCTTCACCGGCAAGAAACTTGAAGATATTGTGCCATCTTCTCACAACTGTGATGTCAGCACATTTCTTGAACTTTTTCCTGTTCAAGTGGCTTCTATTGATACTAAAACATGAACATGTTATATCTCTACAGGTTCCTCATGTGAATCGCACAGAATACCAGCTCATTGATATATCTGAGGATGGATTTGTAAGTTGGATTCTTTCATTAATATCTCTTATATTTTTCATCTTTTGTTGAAACGAGTGTTTAACTGGAGAAATTAACATTTGTTTCAGGTGAGTCTGCTGACTGATAATGGTAACACCAAAGATGACCTCAAGCTCCCAACTGATGAAACCCTCCTTGGCCAGGTTTGTATGAACCATGTTATCCGTGCATATTTCTTGGAAGTGAATAGATTTGAGATGTCTTATTTATATTTAATTAAAGGTGTTCATTAATTAACAAGATATGCAGTATTCAGTACACTAGAGTATCTCCTTTTCTTGTTAATTTGGTCTGGGAATTCCCTGTCCGTATTTGCTTTGTGCAGTAGCCAGTGGACCTAATATTCTCTATTAGATTTAGTGTGTTGAAACTTGAAACTGCTCCTATGAATAAAAAGCCGGTGCACCTACCACTGTTATAGCTAATTTTTTACATGTGCTGTTTAGAGCGACTCGTACACGTGAACTATGTCTTCCATACCCCACGAGCTCTGATATTGAATTTGTCCATTGGTGCAGATCAAGGATGGGTTTGCTGAAGGGAAGGACCTGGTGGTGTCTGTCATGTCCGCCATGGGAGAGGAGCAGATTAATGCGCTCAAGGACATCGGCCCCAAGTAATCAGCCCGTTAGCCATGGGATGCACTATTTTCTCAAGTGTCGTTCATTTGTGTCTGCCGGTTAAGATGGATTTGGGTGTCACAGCCATTGAGGAATTTTACCTTTTTGCAGAACTAAGTTGTCAGTGTTTGGTTGATTTGTAGTCCTAAATTCATGGGTGATTGTATCCTAAAACGTCGCCCCGGGGTTTTATTGACCCCTCTTGACTATTGGTGTTGCTGGTGTTGCAGTGTGGAGGTAATCAGTACGTCTTTTCAGGATGCTATAAATTGAGCAACACCCCGCCGTGTTGTGTTTTTACTACTAGTGTTGCATTTGCAGGTGCAACTTTTGACAGCTGGAGATACTACTGCCCAGAAAGACAGCGGGCAGATGAGTTTTGTTGCCAATTTTTGTCATGGCGAATGGAAGCTTCGGTGGTTTGATTATTACTTCATTACTCTCGGAACAAAGTTGCTTTCTGTCATTGTCAGAGTGGTCTTGTACGGCATCCTCACGCAAGGTGTTTTAGCCTCCTACGGTTCACATGATGAAATGTAAAAGATTGTGAAATTAGAGAGTGAACTCTCTCTCGCGCGCGACTGTGTCACACCCGTGGGTGACAGGGTCTTCCCCCTTTTGTCCCTCGCGGCAGTCCGGCGCGGCGGCGGGGTTCTTTGTTGTTGTAGCGGGTGATCTGCTAGGCAGCGGCGTTGTCGTTGGCGGCGGGGTGGCGCAGCGGTGCGATTTATCGACGCCCGCTTGGCCTAGATCTAGGCCCCATCTGCGTCTAGGTAGGCTAGCGGTGGGGGAGGTCGACGGCGTGGCCACCAAGAGGCAGGGGAGCGGAGATGGGCGGGTGGGTGTTGGCAACGCTGGCGTCGACCTGCTGCAGTGTGGCCGGCGGGGCTTTGCGGGTCCGATTTGGGCCTAGCCGGGTGGCCTGGTATGCCTTGTTGCTGTGTCCGGATGGCGGTCGCGACGGTGCCGAAAGCACAGGCCTCCCGCACGTTGGTGGTGTAGGTGGTTCCCTCTCGCGCTGCTCTGGTGCTGCTGCTCTCGATGCTTGATGCTTCTCTCTTCGTCCTTTTGGCCTCGTGGTGGTGATATCGGTGAGGCGGCATGGGTGGCGTCAAGACCGTGGTGACGCATGCTGGTGGGCGGCGAGTTGGCTGGTTGGCTTCGGCCCGGCTGGGCAGTGGAGTTAGAAGTGCAGGAGAAATTCTTGCGGTTCTTCCGGCTTCGATGCGGTGACACTAGTGGGTGCCGCCATCCCTTCCTGGAGGGTGTTGGTGGTATCCACCCCCACTCTCATCCGCGTGTCGAGGGAAATCCTAGAACATGTCTGGGCAGCAATGTCGCATTTCTTTTTGAAGGTGCTGCTTGGTACGCAGTGGATTGGAGCCTTTGTGATGGGTCGATTCCGGAGGGCGCAGTGGCGGCGGGTCATCTGCGCTTTGTCGAGCTGCCGTTGTTGGCATTTTTTTGAGGGCTTAATGTGCTACTCGCCCTAGCAATTGATATGTGATCCGAAGCGGGGAAACCTTTTTTTTAGTGTAAAAGATTGTTTTCTATATAATCCTATATAGAAATAAGAATCCATTATAAATTAATTACTACGAACAAATTTTTGCTACAAAATTCCTATTCTTTAAAATTCATGAAAAAAAAACAAAGGAGGCCTTACATTACTTGACAAGGCTCTGCAAACACGGATTTACAATCTCATGTAAACTATTGCGTGATATGTATGCTTTTGTTCTGAAAACGTCGAGCCAAAATATGACAATGTCGAGTGAGATGAGATACATATTCTTTTCTTTCTTTTGTGATGGATTATCGCAGCTGCAGTGCACCCTGCAGAAAGGTTGCCATTTTCTCGGGCTCTCACAATCATCATCGTGTGCGTGGCTGGCGGACTGATTTGACAAGAAGACTTTTCGGCCGTGATGCCTTCGCCCCAACCAAATGAGCAAAAAGTAGCAGTGGCCACGTGCTTTTAATCCCTAATAATCCTACGCTACATATGCACACGCCTATTATTTTATACTCGTATTATGAAAATGATTAAAGTCCACCGAGTAAAGATTATGTGCTTTTTTTATGTGTTTTGGTTCTTTAAGGGAGACTCCTAAAGTATAATTGATGCAATAAATCTCTACTATTAAAGAGGATCGAATGTCGTAATGGTTCGACCTCGTTCGATCCCCCTCCCTTCGAACAAAAGCCATCACGAGAAGTCCACACGCAGGCAGCATCCCAAAAAACACCAACTCAGCCCACGTGCAGCAGCCCAGAAAACACCAACTTAGCCCGAGTACGAGATCCACGTCTCAAAAAACCAGTTCAACACACGAACGAGAGGTCCATGGACCAACAATCAAATCCATTGACCAAACCCCACGATCGCGCCCTCCGCGAACCACGAACGAGGAAAACAGCTGCGCAACCCACGAACGAGGACGAGGTCAAAATCAAACTTCTTCGACCCGCCAACGAAGGTCGCCAGCGAGACAAACACCGAGAAACCAGTTCTTCCTGGCACACGAGTTTCCTGGCGTACAGGCACCATCCAGGCCCATCGTTCGCACGCTCTGTGAGAGCTGCAGCCTCTGCTGATCGCCTCGCATGCCGAACCACAACCAGGGCGTCCAAACCACAACCTCCGCTCGACGTCTGCTGTTGCGTCATCTCCTAAGCCCGCCTACTGTCTTCTTCCTCTCCGACGGCAAAGGACGGATATCCACCTACGTCATCTCCTAAGCCCGTCTACTGTCTTTTTCCTCTCCGACGGAGGACGAATATCCACCTTTATTATGTTTCACGGTGCCCATCACGCCCTAGGTTTGCCATCCTGACCTGTTCAAAACTTCGTAATGTTAGTATTTTAAGCAATGTCCCAACTACCATGCCATGAACCTGCTTCATTACACTAATCAAGTTCTGGGAATTAATACATGTGGACGGGTGCCAGATGGCATCTCAAATGTGTCTTTTCAGCATCTACACTCCGGGCAAATGAATGACAGCAAATGTAATACACTCTGAACATAGCACTTATTCCCCAAAGTGAGACCATGTTCCGTAAAGAATACTGCCTTGTTCCGTAAAGGATATTGCTAAAGTCCTATAGTATGTCATATCATTTTTGTAATGCAATTCATATCATTTTTTGATGCAAAAAGACTGCAGGTTTATTTAAGCTTCTATAGGACAGAAAGATGTCACGGGACAGAGAGCATATCTATGATAAAGGAAAAAAGGTATGTGTATGCCAATCACGTGTCTGCACATAAGGTATTCAAGAAGCTTTCATAACTTAACCTACATTCATCTTATCAGCTGTTGAATATGAGAGGACACCGAGCAATACACACTGACCACCATCTGGTTTTTTCATACGTGAACACATACGTGAACAAACATGCACTACTAACTATAGTATTCCGTCTTCCGATGATGATGACAATTTGCCCACGCAACTGCCTATGATGATTCCTATAGCTGGCAATCTCACGGCCTTTCAGCCAGTGCCACATGTGGAGACACCAATTGGTACCGCCCTTACACACGACTTTTTTCAGTTTGCATTTATACATTTGTTAAAACAATATGGTTCTTCAGGAAATCATTCTCGTGAAGGCACTTACTATGATCACCGTGCATCACTTCGAGGAACAGAGAGCAACATTGATCATAATATTGGTTCAGATATAGCACTTGGACTCGACACTGAAGAAACTATCCCTGAACACATTGCTTCAAATGATATCATTAAATCAGACAAAAAACAGAAAAGGCGAGACCAATATATAGCACGACGAAATAGATTAACACCTGAACAGAAGGAGGAATGTTGGAAATATGCCCTAGAGGCAATAATAAAATGGTTATTATGATATTCCCTTGTTCATGATAATTGTCTATTGTTCATGCTATAATTGTATTAACCGGAGACCGTAATGCATGTGTGAATACGTAGACCACAATATGTCCCTAGTAAGCCTCTAGTTGACTAGCTCGTTGATCAATAGATGGTTACGGTTTCCTGACCATGGACATTGGATGTCGTTGATAACGGGATCACGTCATTAGGAGAATGATGTGATGGACAAGACCCAATCCTAAGCATAGCACAAGATCGTGTAGTTCGTCTGCTAAAGCTTTTTTAATGTCAAGTATCATTTCCTTAGACCATGAGATTGTGCAACTCCCGGATACCGTAGGAATGCTTTGGGTGTGCCAAACGTCACAACGTAACTGGGTGGCTATAAAGGCACACTACGGGTATCTCCGAAAGTGTCTGTTGGGTTGGCACGAATCGAGACTGGGATTTGTCACTCCGTGTGACGGAGAGGTATCTCTGGGCCCACTCGGTAGGACATCATCATAATGAGCTCAGTGTGACCAAAGAGTTGATCACGGGATGATGTGTTACGGAACAAGTAAAAGTGACTTGCCGGTAACGAGATTGAACGAGGTATTGGGATACCGACGATCGAATCTCGGGCAAGTAACGTACCGATTGACAAAGGGAATTGTATAGAGGATTGATTGAATCCCCGACATCGTGGTTCATCCGATGAGATCATCGTGGAACATGTGGGAGCCAACATGGGTATCCAGATCCCGTTGTTGGTTATTGGTCAGAGAACTGTCTCGATCATGTCTGCGTGATTCCCGAACCCGTAGGGTCTACACACTTAAGGTTCAGTGACGCTAGAGTTGTTATGGGAATTAGTGTGCAGTTACCGAATGTTGTTCGGAGTCTCGGATGAGATCCCGGACGTCACGAGGAGTTCCAGAATGGTCCAGAGGTAAAGATTTATATATCGAAAGTCCTATTTTGGCCACCGGAAAATGTTCGGGATTTTTCGGTATTGTACCAGGAAGGTTCTAGAAGGTTCTGGAGTGGGGCCCACCTGCATGGGGGACCCACATAAACGTGGGTAGTGGGGGCAAGGCCCCACACCCCTGGTCAAGGCGCACCAAGATCCCCCCTTAGAAGGAATAAGATCATATCCCGAAGGGATAAGATCAAGATCCCTAAAAAAGGGGGATAACAATCGGTGGGGAAGGGAAATGATAGGATTTCTTTCCCCCACCTTTTCTAACGCCCCAATGGACTTGGAGGGCAAGAAACCAGCCCCCTCCACCCCTATATATAGTGGGGAGGCGCATGGGAGCCGCAGCCCTTCCCCTGGCGCAGCCCTCTCCCTCCCCAACACCTCCGTTGTAGTAGTAGTGCTTGGCGAAGCCCTGCCGGAGAACTGCAAGCTCCACCACCACGCCGTCATGCTGCCGGAGATCTCCTCCAACTTCTCCTCTCCCCTTACTGGATCAAGAAGGAGGAGACGTCCCCGGGCTGTACATGTGTTGAACGCGGAGGCGCCGTTGTTTGGCGCTTAGATCGGAATCAACCGCGATCTGAATCGCTACGAGTATGACTCCTTCATCCGTGTTCTTGTAACGCTTCCGCATCACAATCTTCAAGGGTATGAAGATGCACTCCCCTCTCTCTTGTTGCTAGTCTCTCCATAGATTGATCTTGGTGATGCGTA